AGGACCAAGTCTCTGAATCTCCTTATTCTACCGAACTATTTTTTAAGTTTAGTTGTAGTACTGCAATTGTTTTTGTACTGTACGCCACAACGAGGTTTTTTAAGATGGAATCTTTATTTACTGGCCTTACGTTTCGACCGCTTCGTCTTCTTCAGAGGCCTGGAGATTGTCTAAAGCTTTTTGATTTGTAAGCTACTCGATCAACCGATTCTAGTATTCTCGACGTCATAGAGCGTCGAGAACACTTCCGAACACTCAGTGATGAAGAAGTAACTCACCCAAGATTCCACCGATGCGGAGCAGTAGCTCACGCCCTGTGTTAGTTGACGTCAATGAGGCAAATGAGCTCTACTCAAGTCTCGCAGTGTCATTATTCAAGAAATCTTCAATTTTGCGACGAGCGGTTCCAATCATAGGCTGCGGCACCATTGTGAAAAATTTAAATGTTGAATCACGTACAGTCCATATCCGACCGGTTGAGGGGGGCGGTCCCACGGACTCTCTAGCGCTGCGGCCGCAACTGCGCCGCAATGGAACGTTGCCGTTCCATAGCGAATCTTAGTGGTGAAGACGGGTGGCTGAGCAATCCGTCTTGTCGTCTGCATTCCTCCGCATCCACACTATCTTCAGCAGTACGACGCAGCCTTTCCATCTGCGCTCTCGCCACTTTTCCGTCTGCGCTCTCGCCACGGTCGATCAATCGAAATTTATCAGCTGTTTTGAGCTGAATCCGGCTAATTTCTGCATATTCTCAACTGCGTTGTGTGGTTTTTCTTCCCCCCGGCTGCCGCTGTCCTCATTAATTATTTCAAGCTTGTGTTGCCGCCTTCACTTCTCGTTTCCTCTCCTGTTGTGTTGCTACTCACTTGAGATTTCCTTTTGCGGTACATTCCAGTGATTCTCGTCTTCGTTTTCTCTTTACAGAACCCGATGCGAATCTTCTGATTGCTTGCTGCTATAGGTTACTGTGCTGCCATCATTTCGTTATCGGCTTCTCCATGTTTCTTTTTTACTAATACACACGTTTCCATCCAGAATGATGATATTATAGCAATGTCTTCCTTTTGCTTCTTCGCTTGCTCAGATTTCACTGCTCAATCATACTGTTGTTACTAACACTTCTCCTGCAAGCTCCCTGATTTCCTTGCTAACTTTCTTTCTTTAAAAAAAACTTCATTCTGCTTTATTTTCGTTTGCTAGGATTAATTATGAATAAAAATTAGCCATTGATTGAAGAGTGTCTTTTAGAGTGTGAGTTGCTCTCTCAAATCTTTTATTGTTTCATGCAAAGTCCTTGTTTCTTTGTTTCTTCACATTTTATAAGCTTTTGCTTCAGCCTCCGAGCCCGTTCTCTGTGAACATCAAAATGAATACAGCACACAATTTTGTAAGTTTGAGAAGGCTGGTTACTAAAAAGCGCAGCATTTTGGTAACTGAAAAATTTTTATAGTCCACTATTGCCAGATCGGTTCTGCTGACGCAACCGAGGGATGGGGTGCATCGTGCGGATTTAGTGGTTAGTGGGTTTCAAGTGTTATGGTCATGCCGTTCAGCTGTATTCGAAGGCAGCGCATGTTTTCAGGACCATGGCATGAGAGGATCAATCGCTGAGCAAGCTGCTCAAAGAAATAACTGCCTCTGTACGGCATTACGGGCACTCTCGCTCGACATGCTGGTGACTGAAGAGGAGTTTGAAGGGCGCTGCATTTACACCCCACAGACGAAAGCCGTCATTGCCAGAGTGAAGCATTTTCTTCGCAAAACTGAAAGAACACCTCGGTACCGCGTCACGTGGTACCGTTTTCGATTCAGTTACTGCGTTGACTTCAAAGGCATGCGGTGTTAGTCGTGCTACTGTCGAGAGGGTTGGTAACTCACCGGTCCGCCGTGCTCCTCCGCGGGCGATTCTTAGGAAGTCGTTCTCGGAAAGCAGCGGTTATGACCGCTATGAACAACCTTAGTGCAGTATGGGGTGAGCGCATACGGCGGCTTGTTCACGAAATGCTCAGAGACGAAAGGGACGTCACGGTTCTGGAGCTGCGACAGGAAATGGTTTCAGCCTATCCGGACTTCACGTTCTCGCCCATGACGCTTTGGAGGCTGCTGAAGGGGCTCGGCTTCTCATATAAGATCCTGAAGGGGCAACGGTATATTTTTGAACGGTCAGACATTGCCCGCAAAAGACCTTTATACCTGAGAAGGATCGAAGAAGCCCGAACTAGAGGAGACTGCCTAGTCTTCATGGACGAGACGACGCACTCCACGAAGCGGGAGATTGACGTGAACATCTATGCCTGTTATGGCGTGAAGGGCTGATAAACAGCACGAAAGTGCTCTCTAGAGGAGGTCTCGTGTGTGTGGTGTTAAAAACTAAGTGAAGCTATTATTTACAACCAGTTTTGCTTCGCCCGCTATCGCGCGCATCACACGGCAGGCTTTAGCGAAATTGGAGGACCCATGGAATATCAGCATGAGATACTCCATTAACCATCTCACTATTGACTGTGTTAGACCCTCCACAGTTTCACTGAAGCTCATCGAGAATACGCGTGATAACGTCTGAGCTGAACTGGTATATTGATCACAACTGTAAACATCCAGCATTTTTCTTGAATTAAGATAATTTAGCGGTGAATAGGATTTTTGCTGTCAGTCTCAAAATCAAAACGAAATATGCCTATTTACATAAGTGAGGAGCTAATGCTTATCATTCATTTACATTCACCATTATTTAGAACCCAAATGGATTGGCGGTTCAATGAATTTGGGTTTTCTTGATAGTGCGTCAGAAATGAACCTTATCATTTGCTGAAGTTTAGGTTTATGCATTCTATTAAGCAAGCACACAATTTGTAGTGGAACGCTCCAGTGTCAACGCTTTGTAAGGGAATCGACGACTGCAGGCGTTGCTGGCGACATCTTTATCGTACCCTCATCATCAATCGTTACCAGTTTCTGGCACCCAAACAACAATTTACCTGTCCCACCCCACATAACATTACAAATATGGTTGCTCTGGTGTCAACGCGAGCCAGGCAACGGAAATCGACGACTGCAGCGTTCTGGCGCGCCTTATCGGCCCTTATCAATCGTTATCAGTTTCTGGCACCCACCAACAATGTCCCCGTCCCACCCCACATAACACTTGTAAGTATGGTTGCTCTGGTGTCAACGCGAGCCAGGCAACGGAATCGACGACTTCAGCGTTCTGGCGCACCTTATCGGCCCTTATCAATCGTTATCAGTTTCTGGCACCCACCAACAATGTCCCCGTCCCACCCCACATAACACTTGTAAATATGGTTGCTCTGGTGTCAACGCGAGCCAGGCAACGGAATCGACGACTGCAGCGTTCTGGCGCACCTTATCGGCCCTTATCAATGCGTTATCAGTTTCTGGCACCACCAACAACGTCCTTGTCCCACCCCACATACACTTGTAAATATGGCTGCTCTTGTGGTCAACGCGAGCCAGGTAACGGAATCGACGACTTTTGCGTTCTAGCGCATCTTATCAGCCATTATCAGTTGCTATCGCTTCCAATCATGTACCACCAATGTCCCGGGACCGCCCCACATAAGACTTGTAAGTATAGACGCTCTTTACCAATATGAACGGCAAAACGAAATTGGCGATGCTCGCTTTCTAGCCCCTCTTATCAGCTATTATCAGTCGTTATCAGTTCCTATCACGTACCACTTGTGTCCCCATCCCACCCCCTATAACATATGTAAGAACCACTGCGCTATCGTTACTGTGACTCGAGCTATGAATTTCCGGTCAAACACACACACACACACACACACACACACCAACAGACACACGCTAGCCGCTTATATATAGTAGGATATTAGCTTAACCACTTCGTCGCCAGATAGACAAGTACGTGCAGCTAAGCTAAGCGTAATAACTTCGTATAGCATACATTATACGAAGTTACGTACTGTTTCGCAGCCGAGAGGATTTGTGAGGAAATGGGGGTGAGCTTACTCAGGCTCCCTCCATTCCACTGCTTTTTTAATCCAGTGGAGTTGTGCTGGAGCTATCTCAAGCAGCGTCTCAATAAAATTGGAAGACCGACGAATAGACTGGAAACAGTAAAGTTTTCTGAACATTGAGGATGTAGCGTTTAACTGGAACTGTGCCGTTCAGGTCAGGGTAAGGGCTATGGAGGTTCTGGAGGCTGTGCCAAGGCATCTCTGTGAGGGCTGGTGTCGAGAGCCTTGAAAGAAGAAGATTCTGCAAGGCTTAAAGAAGCCTAGATGCCAACAATAATGAAGTGGGCGAGGAAGAGATATTCTCCTCATCACATTTGTCATCTGATAGTAGTGTTTCGGAGGATGAATCATTTACTGAATTTAGTATAGAATTGTAGATGTTTTTTTTCGATTCATATAATAGGTTCTTTTGATTGCCTTAATGGTTTCATAGTGTTATATTCTATTACTACCACGGGTTCCATTTGAGCTTACTCATTCTAACGGGTTAACTTCATATACTTAACAGGGTTTCTTGTTTCACCGTTACGGGTTCACTAACAACGGATTTACATTTTTCCGTTTTTTGTTTGTTCTAGCTCTTACGCTAGCGTTTTTTTTATTGTTCTAACCCCTGTATTTATCGTTTTGAGCATCTTTACTAACTTATATCTTGGACTCTGGACTCCCTGCATTAAAGTCTCCGTTAGTTTTAGTTACTAGCAAGATGTTTCCATTCACTCGCTCCTTGTTTTTTTATAACTAGTCACCTAACCAAAATAAAACTGAGATTGTTTGCAAGTTCGTGGACTTAGAATAGTTAATGAGGGCAGCGGCAGCCGCGGGGAAGAAAAACCACACATACGAACATTATCTAAATTCTTGAATATCAATAGTAAGTGAAAAGTGCTGAACGTAATCACACGAGGAGCTTGTACAATAAAATTTAGTAAAAAGAAAATGCGAAAAAGGCGAAGTTTAACGCTGCTTACCAACGAACCCACCTGAACCGCGGCGATTACAGCATACCCAGGAAACGCACGTATCTCGACACACTCGAACTTCAAAACAGTGTCAAAGAGTGTCCCCGACAAAAATGGAAACACATCAAAGACACTGTCATGAAGAGCGAGTGAAATCAAAAAAGAAACAATGAAAGAAGATAGGGGTTTGCGCAAAATCGGGGGAATTGGGAAAAATGCATGCACCACGGCAAACTCCAACTTCAAAACATTGTCAGAGAATGTTCCCGGCATTAACAGGAACATTTTGGTGACAATGTTATGGAAATGGAGTTCATCGGAGAGCGAATTTTAAAAAAAAATGCAGGAAAACAACAGAAAATAAGCATAATTGCTACAAACGGGGCAAGTGTTGTCATAAAATCATTCACAAAACATGCAGAAGCGTATTATGATCTTTAAAACTCACTCTCATCACCTTTAAAAAAAAAGAAGCGCGCAGTTGAGAATATCAGCAGGAATTAGTCGGATTCAGGATCTAATAACCAGGCTGAAGTATAACTTCGAGTGATCGTCAGCTGTGGGCAGGAAGGCGAGCGCGGGAAAAGTAGCGAGAGCGCAGACGGAAAGGCTGCGTCGTCCTGCTGAGATATAGTGTGGATGCGGAGGGAGTGCAGACGACAAGACGGATTGCCAGCCACCCGTCTTCACCACTAAGATTCGCTGTGGAACGGCAAGGTTCCATTGCGGCGCAGTTGCGCCGCAGCGCTCGAGAGCCCGTGGGCCGCCCCCCTCAACCGGTCGGGAACGCGGATAAATTCTTGGAACGATTCCGTCGACGTGAAATAAAACATTCTGCCCGCAAATGCACTAGAGCATCCTATCTCACGTTCGAGTCTTGCAGTAGTCATTAGGTTTAAGATTTAGTCACAAGATAGGCATTATTTCAGCTTAAGAGTGCAAGGTAATTTGTTTATTTGTATGGGTAAGTCCTAGTCCCTCCCTCCCCTACAGCTGCTGCGTCAAAAGTTGCAAGAGACAGCCACTACCTCCAAGAGTCCGGCAAACACACCTTTTACTTCGTGGAGCCAGCCTCATGCGCGCGAGTTTGGGCGAATGAAAATAATCGTGGGTGTCTCCGGACTAAAATATATTGTCCAAAATTCCCAGCCCTAACTCATGCCAATTAGGATAGATAACGTAAACAGTGACAATTATGAGTTGATTCATACGAAGTTTGGAAAAAAAACACGGTAGACCATTGAGAATGCGACAAATTAAGAATCAGTGTCGCAACTTTCGCATACGCATACAGAAGGCCTACGGACTATCGGAGTATTGGGAGACTACTGGATCGGAGTATCGCCCAAGCCTACGTTCACTCGCCAAGACACCAGTTCGTGACTACTGCGGGCTCACATTTGGGTACCTTAACCACATGGCGAGTGCCTCACCTACCTCTGCAGTCCACTCCTTCTCCAGTACCTGAGATGAGCTTTTATCCCTCCAACTTGACACCAAAGAGACGGTTGCAGTTTTCGAAGA